GGGGGGGGGGGGGGGGGGGGGGGGGGGGGGGGGGGGGGGGGGGTGGGGGGGGAGGAGGAGAGAGGACCTGGTCTGGTTGGACCTGGTCTGGTTGGACCTGGTCTAACGAGGACCTTCTCTCAGTACCAGCAGCATCACTTCTGGGTCGGACTAATAAAATCCTCCCTCCTTCCAGTTAAATCTAATCTGTACTTTTTAGCCCCGCCCTGAATCCCAGCACTCCTTCATCCGTGGTTGTGTTGCCATATCAACGGAGGACGTGTGTGAGTGTTGAACAAGTCGACTCCTCAGCCCCGAGTCGCTCCATTGTCTTCACGCTCCGATCTAATCCCCACTGTGGAGGAGTCGCTCTGTCAGGGAGCAGACGGAGGGAGGTGCCATTGTTGGCACTGATAATAGCTGAGCACTGGAGTGGAGTGGTTAACACACACACACACACACACACACACACACACGCACAGCTTCTACTCAGTATGTGGCAATTATGTTTCTCCGCAGCAGCTCGTGGCTCCTCCTCCTCCTCCTCCTCCTCCTTGACTTCATCCCCCCCCTCCTCTCACCTCCTCCTCCTCCTCCTCCTCCTCCTCCTCCTTGACTTCATCCCTCACCTCCTCTCACCTCCTCTCACCTCCTTTCTTCATTTGTTTGTCTTTGTCCAAAGTCAAGAGTCAGAGACAGAACCAGGTGACGCAGCTCACTGGTCCAGACGGTCGACCAGTGGAGACCAGTCGACCGTCTGACTTCAGACCTGGGCTGGTCGGTCGGTCGGTCGGTCTGTTCTTCATCCCTCACCTCCTCTCACCTCCTCTCTTCATTTGTTTGTCTTTGTCCAAAGTCAAGAGTCAGAGACAGAACTGAACCAGGTGACGCAGCTCACTGGTCCAGACGGTCGACCAGTGGAGACCAGTCGACCGTCTGACTTCAGACCTGGGCTGGTCGGTCGGTCGGTCGGTCTGTTTGTCTGTTTGTCTGTTGGTTTGTTTGTCTGTCTGTTGGTTTGTCTGTTTGTCTGTTGGTTTGTCTGTTGGTTTGTTTGTCTGTTGGTTTGTTTGTCTGTTTGTTTGTTTGTTTGTCTGTCTGTTTGTTTGTTTGTCTGTTTGTTTGTTTGTCTGTTTGTTTGTTTGTCTGTTTGTTTGTTTGTCTGTTTGTTTGTTTGTCTGTTTGTTGGTTTGATTGTCTGTTTGTCTGTTGGTTTGTTTGTCTGTTTGTTTGTCTGTTTGTTTGTTTGTCTGTTTGTTTGTTTGTCTGTTTGTTTGTCTTCCTGGAGTCAGCTGTTTTATCTCAGATATATTACGTATATTTCTCGACACCAGGACTCGTTTCTCCACTAAAAACTAAAACCAATTCATTGGTT